AACGTCAACATTAAAGCCACTGTTGCGGTGATTGTCGTCGTCAAGCATATATGACCATCATCGTCAACATGACGGTCCTCCTCCTCCTCCTCCTCTTCGAAATCACGATAACCACCATCACGAGCATCAGCATCAACAACACCATCACCAGCATCATCGTAATCGTTATCAACATCACCTTCACGGAGCCTCTCCGCCATCATCACCAACATCATCATCATCATCAGCAGCATCATCATTGTCATCTTCGGGGCAAGCTTGACCGGAGCCTTGCGGCCTGCTGTGTTCAAGTTGACAATAGCGCTGGCATCATTACCACCAACATCACCGCCACCACCTCTGTATTGACAGACTTCGTCATCATCATGAACCTTGGCGTCAACATCAATTCCGCCGTAAAGTTCCCAATCCCAGTAACCATTTCTTAAACCAAGTCTTACAGCATATGAACACCAGAAGAGGCAGTGTTTCAGTCGCTGACAGATAACAAACTCAACCCTTTGGCTCTTGACTTGATCCAGGCTGGGTTTGACACTTTTCGGAGGCGTGTACTTCAGGACGCAGTGATATAGTGGACAATTCTCCTGCACGGTGACAACGTGGCGAGGAGCCTACAACCTGCCGAAGTCCTGCACTTGGTAGCAAGCTCGCGGCACTGAACCCCTGACCCCAGACCACCGAACCTGTGAACTCATCATTAGTTAGACTCATTCGACCCCTGGACCCTACTCATAAAACACTATTCACGAAACAAATCCTGCGGCTGTCACTACCACTGTCAAGTCGAAGCTTCAGACCGTGCACATGGTGATGCCATCCGGAGCTACAGTAGCGGAGGGCGGGACAGGACCAGGCAGCACGGAACATACTGAATCCATGCATGCGCCCGGGCATAGTTTTTTTGCTATTACTCATACTCTTACTATTACTATTATTTGTACTAATACTATTACTATTACATTACCCTTGCCTCCGCAGGCTCCCGAGGCTCGATCAGGCGCGGTCTGGTTGCAAGTGGGTACGGGCATGGGTTCAGTCATGGGTAGTAATATCCCTTTATCGTCCCGAATATAACTGTAGCATATCCCCAAAACCCTATTCTAATCGGTAGTTGGAGCTGGGGTGTCTCAGCTTTCGAGCAGCATGGGGCTTGTTTTGTGGCTTCGACCCCTTGGACTGTGGGAATGCTGTTTTAAAATTGAGGTTTAGAGGGACTTCGGGCTTGCAGAGCCCAGTCCAGCATTTCACATCGGTTTCCAGGGTCAGAAAACATGAGGCCATGCCTTCCGGGTGCTCTGATTCTAGGATGCGGGAACGGCTAGGCTTTGCGTTTGTTGCGGCCTTGTTATGATCGTGTCTGTCTACTCAGTCTGTGTATGAAAGAAAAGCAATTTGTCCTTGAAGGCTTAGACACTACGCCAGCAACTCCAAACTCGAAGCGCTTCTAAACTGCACACAACACTTCACATCAACACCGCGTAGCCCTGGACCTTAGAAAATCTGAAGCTGCGCCTTGAGAAGTCCTCCTCATCGTTCTGTTCTTCGACCACCTCGGTGGTCTCCTGCGGTAAGCCGTAAACCGACACCGGCAATCAGCAAGCGTAGTAGTGACAGTGGTAGAGGTAGGAGTAGTCATAGTCGCGCAGCAGTCGTAGCCGTAGTCGTGTAGTAGTCGCCGTAGTCGTGGTGGTGGTGTTGGTGGTGATAGTAGTAGCAGTACAGTAGTAGTAGTAATAGCAATAGCAGTGTTTTGCAGTAGTTGATGTTCTTACTGTAGCAGCAGTCGTGGTCGCAGTTGTGTGGAAGTAGCAGGAACTGCAGCAATCGCCAAGGCAAAGTCCACCCGTGCGCGACAGCGTGCTTTAGGGTAAGCTTGTCAGACTCGCAAGGTTCATGACAAAAGGATCCCATCGATAACACGTGGCAAACCCCCGACAGCAGCACATGCTACGGCACAGCCTGAAACCCTAAAGGCTACTCCATCCAGCCGAAACCTTACACCCTGAGTTGGCACCTGACACAGTGAGATACCAAACCCTCAACCCGAGACTGTAGTTTTCGTGCGCATGGATGCGTGTATGTATCTGCGTATGTATGTACGTATGTACATACACTCATCTGTTTGTTCATTTAATTATTTCCAATAGATAATGATGCTACGACACATGTACTACTGTTCTTGTCCTTATTGCGACTATTCTTGATATTACAACTATTGTTACTCTTGTTATCATTATTGCCCATCCGCGACGGTGGCCCACCTGGGCACCGGCGCCTTCTTCCGGCGTCCTCAAGATTTCGAGCCCAGCCTGATAGGACGCCTCCTGGGCGGTGAAAGGAGGGTTGAAGAGGTGCTCTAGATTCATACGTTTTTTCAGTCAACTAGGGGAACCCGAAGCCCCTAAACCCCAAACCCCTTAAGCTCTGAGGCCCTAAAGTGCTGAAAGCCGAAATTTTACATGCTCAGAAGGCATGTTTTATTTCCTTGTCCGATGTAAACTCCCAGAAGGCCAGATTGGTCCAGCAAACAGGTGCTCATCAATGCAGCAGCAGCAGCAGCAGGCTTTCGGGTTAAAGGGGCTTGTGACTATGTGTTAAAAAAAAAAAATATATATATATATATATATGTATATATGTGGCTCTGTTTATGTGCGTATGTAACATATGTATGTATGTAGCTTCTAGGTAGGTAGGTAGGTAGGTAGGCAGGTAGGTAGGTAGGTAGGTAGGTACTTGTAGGTATGTGATGTATGTACGTATGTAAGTTTCTATGTATGTGTGTATATATATATATATGTATGTATGTATGTATGTATGATTTAGTGAGGGGTTTCTATTGATGTATGTATTTCCGTCTAATTATCTGATCTATCTATCTATGTCTATCTAATAGCTATTTGATTGTACTCTCTCTCTCTCTCTATATATATATATACACACACATATTTGTACCTACATACATATGTGCGTATGTATATATATATATATATATATATATATATAAGGGCCCAAATCGCCTGCGCAGGGCAGGAATATTGTAGGCCCCAGCACCCGCCATGGGTGCGTCTGCCGGCTACGGGCAAGCAGTGCATAGCGGCAAGTGTGCCATGCACAAGCTGGGCATTCAGGTTTTGCATTCACCCGACATGATGGCGATCATGGACGCAAAGGACACACTGTGTAAGGTGACTTTGTTGAGCATTCGTTCGGAGGACATGCTCGCAGACCACACAGCAGATGAGTTTGCAACTGGCTTCAAAAAGAGGCCGGCTTTTCAGCTGCGCGGCATCAAGCAGAACAGAGGCTCGTCATGCGAGGGAGAATGGATCACCAAGCGGCAACCTAGCAGCTCATGCCCTTCACCTGTTGCGATGGTGTTTACGGGTTCGAAGGACATGCTGTGCAGAGTGGCCATATTGAACATGGGCTGGGAGGACTCGCTCGCACCACTCACCATAAAGGAGTCTGCGACTGGCTTCAAGAAGTCGCTGGCTTTCAGGCCGCACGGCATCAAGCAGAGCAGAGGCTCGTCAGGCGAGGGCGTTTGCACTACCAAGCGGCAACCTGGCAGCTCATGCACTTCACTTCACCCGATGTGATGGTGTTTATGGGCTCGAAGGACATGCTGTGCAAGGTGGCCATGTTGAACATATGTGTGGAGATGGTTTGGAGGACAATGCTCGCACACTTCACCGTGATGGCTGCCATCAAGAAGACGCCGGCTTTTCAGCTGAGAGGCATCAAGCAGAGCAGAGGCTCGTCAGGAATTTGCGGCTGGCTGCATGAAGACGTCGGCTTTCCAGCAGTGCGCCATCAAACAGAACAGAGGCTCGTCAGGCCTTCGATCTAATGACGCTGACTCCGCTATCCTGGCTTAGCAGTTCCTGATCATGTAAGTGAGTGATGCTGGAGCGCTTTAGATTTGCGTGTGGAGGTCCTACGGCCTTCATGCTATGGTTGAGTTTGATGTCCCGATATCACCTCGATGAAGGTGTTAGACATCCTGGGTATTGTAACCGTGTAGGAATGGCCTCAGCTGATACCCATGAGGAAGATCCTGCACGTCTTGGGTCCGATATGTGGATCGTACGTTGTCTGATGCTTTGATCGCCGTTTACGGAATACAAAGCATCCTTTGTTTGCCGTGCATTCTCAGGCATTCTTCCATGCGCCATCTTTGATTTTGTTGTGGGGTTGGGACAGCTTTTCCGTTTGCTGGTTACATCCCACCCCTGTCCGGTGAGCGCATACTATGTCAATAGATTTCTGCGCCACCCCACTTTCAATTAAATGCAGTTTGAATTCACCTTGCTAGGCGAGCGTCGTTTACCGACTCAACCGCAGAGAATGAAATGAAATGATATATATATATATATATATATGCATAGAAACATGTATACATCACCCAAAATCACGAAAAAGCCTGCCTGACTGCACCCGTCACGGCACTACTCCGCGGACTTGTGGGCAAGAGGGTGTCGTCGAGTGTTGCTGGGGCTCCAGGCCACAACCGGCGGCATCGGCCAGTCAATCTGCCTTACGTATTAAGACTCGATGTGTGATAGGTTCAGGGGTCGTGCATGCACGGGCACGGAGACATACGCACGAAGAGGTATTCTATGCAAGTCGGCTGCTTGCACCTCGGAACAAACCGCCAAAGCTTCGCACTCCAAAAAAAGACATGGTATGGGAGTCACCGATTTCCTCGTCCTTACTCTAAAGAGCATACTGCCAATCCCTAAAGGCCTCTCAGGAACCTTGGATTTGGTACATCCCCGAAAGCCTCTTGTATTTGGGTATTCTTGTCTTGGTGCCCTGTGTTGCACCATGGCATCTCCTCTTCCTGCGTTTCTGAAAACAGCCTAATAGTATAGTGGCCGTAATGACTAAAACAAGGTCTTGGGGTGTGTCTCAACAAAGGGGACCCGAAGGAATAGCAAAGGTACTTGTTGACCCCACATTGTCCTTAACCCCAGGCAGCCGTTTTTTCCGCCTGTCGCTCAGGTGAAGTGAAAAGCAACGGAAATCGACGTTGAGAGGCTCCTTGGGCATTTGTGGACGTCTTGTGTGATGCTGTGACGAGGGCCTTTATGCTTTGGTTGGAGCTAGATGCTGAAAGGTAGGATGCGTTCTAGGTTGGGAAACTCTATGGCTTGGGCATGGGCTTACGGGGTCGCAGTTCGGGGCTGCAGGATTGCAGCGACGTCTGAACGGGCAGTTTCGCTGTTGCTTCACGCTTTCTCTCTGGTCTGAGGGCCACTGGCGATGAGCTTCCATGCGCCAAAGGAAGCTAAGTGTCACCGTCAACACGGCCGACTCGCAGCAACGCCGGCTCCGGAGGTAGATCATTGATCTTCTATCGCGCGCGAAATCAATGAAGATGTCCGAACTAAAGCCCATCATTCTCCCATGGCGGAAGTCCGAAACCGGCATCCACCCCGGTGCCCTTGTGCCAAGGCTCTTCACATAGTGCCACCAGCCCCGCGGGAGGTAGAGTAAGTCGCCAGGATGCAGCACCTCTGTTCAGTACAGGGCTGAGGCTTTCTTGTGGGGGTGTTTAGTGCTACTACAAGGGCTACTATCATTGCAAGGGCTACCAATAGTAATTACTGTCAGGGTTACTACTCTGGCGATACTGTAAGGACTAGGGTAAAGGCGACTATAAGGGTCACTATAAGACATTCAGTGTTTGAGGTTTAAGGCTTCGGGGAGTATGGGTTTAGGGAGTATGGCACGGGACTGCTCGGGCAATCTCCAAGGGACACTAGACAAGGCGACATCGACTCCGATGCCCGGAAGCACCATACTGTGGATACATTTGCACAGAGGCCTGACGAGCTTCGGGCTGGTGGGTTGGCTGGGCCATTATTGCTTCGTTGGAGCCACCTTCTGGGGCCAGGTTTCGCCATAACGAGAACAGAAACCCAAACTGATGGGGGGCCGGGCTCCGTTCCGTCGTTTGAAACTTCTTCCCAATCCTGCCCACCACATGTTCACGGAAGCAGGTCCACTGCTGCTGTGTGGGGTGGCTCAGGGCCCAGCTGTACTAATTCAACCTTGTCCAAGCAGCCTAGACTTTGTTTGCACACTGAACCATGCCGTACTCAGAAACATTCAGCCGTACCTGCCATCCAAGGCACCACATCCAGAAACGAGGCTTCTGTCAACTTGTGGAACGGGCCGTCGGTGTACACACCATTCCTGGGTCTACACCCCGGGCCCTATCAGCCTCACGATCACCTCTTCCAGTTGGCCTGCCGAAAACGATGGAGTCAGCTAGCAAAACGGACGTGCGCGAAGCCCATACGTAAACTAGTGCTTGGATCCCATTTGAACTGCATCTGAATTGGCAAGCACAATTCATGGAACAGAAGCCCCTGTCCAAGCATCTCCTGGTCTCTTGTTTGGCTGAAATACTTCGACTACCTGCTACTGCTAATGCTGCTGATTTTCTACTATAATACTATGACGACGACCATCACCGCCAGCGCCACCGTAACCACGACGCCAACGACAACGCCGACGACGACGACAACTACTGCCACAACGACTGCTACTCCACCACTCCTGCCTGCCTTCCTACCAACGACTACTACGCGACTTGCTAGACGACAACAAGAACAACTCATAGCAATGCTAGCGCTGGAGAGAAACAGGACGAGAGCAATACCGGTATCATCAAGCTCAGATGCGGAAGATAATTTTGTCGCAATACATCGTACCGTCAACGACTGCGCTAGACAGTTCCAAAAGCAGCAGAAACTGGGCTACACGATAGCCCACGCAGGATTACTAGAGAAGTGGCGAATGCTTGAACAGGTATCTCGATTTGAAGCGGCAATCAACTGAAATCGCCAAAGCACGGAGTCCTAAAGGCCCTAAAGCGTGACGAAGTCTCTTCTCGCCCTCCAGAAGATCTGCTGGCTCAATGCGCGAATTGTTCTGCATGAGTTCCTGAGATGTAAGCGGCGAGCATGTAACTGAAGGGTTGGACTATCTATCTATCTATCTATCTGTATATATATATATATATATATATATGTATGTATGTATCTGTACACCTGGAAATATCTATATCCGCATTTCTGAATACAGCAAAAGTGTACTCAGTAATAAAAGATAAACACCAGTAGCAATACCAACAGTATTACTAACATCACTAATCAGTTTCTGATTATCATCAGATATAGTTGAAAAGGCATATACAAATACATGAGCACGCATGTATGCATGCGTGCATGGAGGCATGTATGTCCGCACGTATATTGTATTCAAGTCTGTCTGTCTGTCTGTCCGTCTATCCGTCTGTGTCTGTTTGTCTGTCTGTATGTATGAACGTATGTATGTGTACGTGTGTATGTGCAACTATGTATGTCTGTATGTATGTATGTATGTATGTTTGTAGGGTTGGTTGGATGGATGGATATATGGATATATTTATGTACGCATGTGTGCATACATGTAATTGCGTGTGTGTGGTGTGTGTATATATATATATACCAGTATACATGTACATGTCCATATGCATACATGCATACGCACGCAAAAATAGGTCTGCCTGCTCCACTGCTTGACAACGTCTGTATACCTACTAGTTGGCTAGCTCTTGGAATCCGACTCTGCGTTTGTCTGTTCGTTCGTTCGTTGTCTTGTTTGTTTGCTTGTGTACATATACCTACAAGCTTTAGATGTGCATGCAATTGAAATTGTGGTCCAGTGGTCCTCGTTTTGAAAAATCAAGCTGTGCCCACCGCCGTATTGGGCATTTATCTCGTGGCCGCGCTACCGTGGATGGATATGGTGAGGCATGGTTCAGCACACGCACACATACGTTGACGTACCTACCTACCTACCTACTGATCGACCGACCGCCGGACGGACGGAGGAAGAACGGACCGATCGACATGCATGCATGCGTGTCTACATACATCAAGACATTTAGTCTCAAGCACACAAACAAACTAGCTAGCAAACAATCAAACAAACAAATGAAGCTTCAACCCCTTCGTGGTGGCGGTACGCTAGAGTTGAAGACAAGGCGCACCGTCTTCTCTTGGTGCAAGTCGACTCGCTTCCTGGCTGGGGGCCCGGGCTGACTTGCTAAGGATTTAATGGTTAGGGCGGTTAGGGTTTAGGGGCACAGCAGCGAACCCTTCAGCTGCAGCACCTCTGCTTTACCCCCACAGAGCCTGAAGCCTCAACCTAATCCAAATCGACTTCAGTCATGATCTTTTTCATGCATGCTTGGTTGCCATACTGTTCCACTACACACATACAAGCAAGTGCTAAACAACAGCTGAGGGTCCTGGTACTGAGCGATATCTGACTTCCAGGCGGGCATGGTTAGGATTGATAAAGAGTTTTGCTCCCCAAGCCCATAACCGGTAGACCGCATTACGGCCTGAAGAAGGCACACATATGGAAGCCTCGATAGTGGCAGACAGCGAAGCTTTATGGTCCGTGTAAAAACCTGTGCGGCTGTGCTTGGGTTGATGGGTTTACGGTTTATGGGACTGGCAAAAAAGGCTCCGATGATTGATTGCCCTCCGCACGATTGCTTGCTGTGAAGTTGTGATTGTAGGAACCTGTCGCGCCTGAGCATCATAGGCCACACTGATCCACTCTAACAGGAAGACTAGGCTTGCACAGCCCCAAACCCACACCACCAATCTCCAAAGCCTGACACCAACCTGTTTCGATGCTTAAATTGCTTTCGAGGAATCCCAAACGTTGAACCCCAAGGTGGGTTGATTGTAATACCATGGTCAAACTGACCTCCCTAAACTACCTACATACCCTTTCCTAGTCCCTAAACCCTAAACCCTCCAACATACCCTCTCCTACTCACCTGGACCTTGCATTGTGCCAGAAGCCCCAGAGCCAAAGGGCCTCCGGAGGAAAAAGGCGGAGGTACTTTGCCCCCACCACCTGGTCCAAAGAGCTTTGGGTTTAGGGGTTTAGGGTTGATGGCTTTGAGGATCATGTTTTCTTCATGCGAATCCGGGGGGGAAGGTTCTAGGGATCGAACGTTTGTGGCTTGAGGCCATCTGCGGCCCTGGACAGAAAGCTGAAGCTGTGTCAAAGGAGCTTGTTCGGACAAGTGCTTGAAACGGCTGCAGATACGGCGTTCTTGCTCAAGCCACTGCTGCTTTTGAGCCTTGAATCATGCATCGCCGTTTGTGAGGTCGTGCAGATCCGGCTGGAAAGCCGACACCCCCCAAAGAAATTGCAGTACCACGCCCCAGGATCTGAAGCCCAGTTTTGTGCAAAGCGATACTATACCATACTGTACTATGATACCATCATATGCTATACCCCCTGTCTCGACCGGTTCAGGGTTCAACCCTGAGCTGCTGCAGAACAGACCAGAATGAGGCACTCGCCTGGCAAAAGATGTTCTCGTAGGGATCCGAGTGGACTGGCGTAACGGTGCCACGAGGACCAAAGAAGACCTGCTTCGAATGGTGCAGATTTCGCACTTCAGGGTCTACGTAGCTTTATTATGTAGTGTTTGCCGGCATTGCAACGCTTAGGGTAACAAATTGGTATGTGTGTGTGTCTGTGCATGTACACCTCAGTCGGCTATATGGGGCTGCAGGATGGTCCGTTGAAACTACCCTCATGTTCTTGACGTGGTTTTGCGATGAGCGGCTTGGGATTAGGGTCGGTGTCTCCTCGTCCCCTCTAAGCTGCTAGCCTGTACCGCGAGAAGCCAGTAAAGCATCCTGCAAACTTGGAAGGCTGACCCCAACCGAGAATAGATTTCTTCTATGGGGTGTTCTGACTGATATCAATCAAACGTCAGACATTCCGCACTTTCTTACTATTGTCATTACGACCGGCACGACGACGTTGTGCCATGGATCTTCTTGCTGTCGCTTCTTCTTCTGCGACCGCACGCAGACTACTGCTGCGAGCAGTCAGAAATGTTTCTGTAAGGCTGTCCAGAATTGTGCAGAAACAAGCGCTGCATGTCGGAATTCTGTAAGTCTGTCTCTGTCTGGATTGGGCTTTCTATGAGGATGGGCTTTCTGTGAGGCTGCTGGCGGGTGCCGGAAGAAACAATGGACTTTCTCCTTAGATGTTTAGTGGAAGGGCGAAAAAAAGGAAATCCTTTTTTATGCTTTTGTGGTGCCAATGCCACAACCAGGACAACTAAATAACCACAGTTAAGGATTGGATTGTTCTGAATTTAGGTATCATGGGGTTATTAATAAATAAAAACCGTGGTCGATAAACTTGATAGTCATTGGTGCTCAGTAGTAGCTTTTGCACACCTGTAGTCTGCACAGAAAACTCACACGCATTTTTTCCCCTGCCCCTGGTGGCATGGGGTGAGCCGCCAGAACCTGCCAGAAAGCTCCTGCCGCATGGCCAAAATTGCATTCGGGTTTAGGGTTTAGGGGTGTAGAGAATTAATTTAAATTTTGAGGCCTGGGAGGTGGACTAGCAGCAAATTTGGGGTGAGGTTCCGGACTTAGGGGCCTAAGTCTCAAGACAGCAAGGAAAGCCTACACCTTAAAGCTTGAATCACTCTCATGGGTAATCTGAGTTGTGGCTTCGATGTGGGGAGAACGTTTCTGTGGCGAGCTTGGGGCTTCGAGGTCGAGGGCCTATGGCGAGCTTGGGGCTTCGAGGTCGAGGGCCTATGGCGAGCTTGGGGCTTCGAGGTCGAGGGCCTATGGCGAGCTTGGGGCTTCGAGGTCGAGGGCAGAAGTGGGAAGCTTGTCACTTTCGAACAGGCTTATCATTTAATGGCAAAGGCTTTAGGGTTTGGGTTTAGGGCTTAGGGTTTAGGGTTCGAAAGCTGTGTAAGCGCGCGAATAATAAGTTACATTTAAGCGGATAATTTACACGCTGTTTTGAATCAAGCTGCAGGGCGGGCATGAAAACCCGAATCACGAATGCCTAGACTCAGACCCCAAATCCAATCCATTACATCATCAAAGTCTACGCAAGGTTTAGGGTTTAGGTTTAAATTAAATGGGTTTCATAGGGATCGGGTTCAAGCCCTAGGCGCCAGGATCTCGATGTCGGATGCCACTGTTGACTGGTACAGCACCGCCTGAAATCGTGCCGCAGTCTCGGCAACGTTGTAGGGCAAAGCCTGTCCCCGGCAGGTGCCCGCAATGAGAGCCAGCCGCGCTGGTCGAACTTCCGGCAGATGTGCTACTGCCACCCTGACGACAATGTACTGGCGCGCTGGCTCACAGCCTCCATGCGGCCCATTCGCACCACCAGTGACTGGAGACAGCTGTGACAGTGACAGTGCCCAGCCGTGGTGTCCTTGTGCGCGCAGTCTCTTTCGTTCCGGCTCTCCCACAGTTTGTGGAACGTCTATGAAAGACATGGCTGGCTCTGGTTGCCAAGCTGCAGCTTCAAATGCAAGGCAGCGGGGTTTAGGGCTTAGGGCACTGAATTATTTCCGTCCGTGTTCCGTGCTCCAAACCCAGGGGCTTCTTAAGGATACTGGGCTAATGAAAGGGGAATACTCCCTGTCATTCATCGCAAGCGGGCCAAGTTAAGGGCTTGGTTCCGCAGTGATGTTGGTTCTTACATAGGGTTCTCCTGTCCAGGCAAATCCCAGGAGTAAATAACTTGAATCGATACATTACCCCTCTGAAATGCAGAGAATCCAGCAATTCGAATAACCTTAAATGCCGACATGGCCACAACCCAACTCCAGCGTTTACTACCCTACACACGAGTTCTCAACACACTGAAGACATTAGCATCAAGCAGTACGCATGTGCCGGGGCCCATTTCTTATAAAATTATTACAGGATTTGATGTTTAGCTTGCGGGACTCGTCACTTACACACTAATCACAAACCGGAATGTCACTTAACTTACACACTAACGGACCAAAACCAGAATGCCCAAATCATTCACCTGTCCGCAGTCCAGTGGTCAATCAACTTGAGTCGGACGAGGACGCCGAGGCCTGGGCACAGGGTTTTGAGCAATGTCATTGGCATGGCAAGGCCATGTTCACATAAATCCCCAACTTCTCTCTCTGCCGTGGGATCCTTCAAAGACGGATATTAATAATCCCTGTCAGAGAGCCCGCCTTCGAGGACTGCATTTCCGCGGGCGAGGGCGAGAACTCGCCTGACACCTGGCGGCGAGAAGGTTTGGTGGCCAATTGGGGTTCAGAGATGTTGAGTGTTCAGGGCTTAGACTTAGAGATATAATTTAAGGTCCAGGGTTTAGGGCTTAGGGCTTATTATAGGGTAGGGTTTAGGGTTTATTTAATAATAGGGACTTCAAAGCTAAGCCTCAACCTATTATCTAAACCACGCCAAGCAAAGCAAGAAATCCCTGAGGAGCAAGCCAGTAAATTTATAACTACGACGCCTTAGAACCCCATTATGCCCTTCTAGTCGCAGAACGTCGTTCAAATCCCTCAGTGACAGAGACCCGGACACTGAAGCTCCTGAGCCCTTGCCCGGAAGCCTAGTGCTGAATAGATTCCCAAGGATTTCAACAGAGAAAAGGCCACAGACTAGTCCCAAATGATTCTTCGGGGAACCCTCGGGCAGACGTGATTCCGCGGGCTCAGGGCAGTAGTTTCGTCTTGGGTTGCCGTGTTTGCTGGACTACCCCTGAACGGCCTGACCTGGAAACTAACCGTGGCTACCCGTGCCTTCACAAATTCTGGTCTGTTTGGGATTCAATTCTAAGAGGGCCTGAAGGAACGAGGGCGAGTTCGGATGGAAGGAACGAGGGCGAGTTCGGATGGAAATCCGCTTTAACTTTAACTAACGGCTTGTCAATGCGAACTTAGTAATTAATAACTTAACTTTAGATTGAGGAGATCAGGTCGTCGCTGCGTCTTACATGCAGTCTATGTTACGATCCCTGCGAAAATGATCCTATTGTCCATGCTGCAAAATCTCACGCCTAAAATTCTAAACCCTAAACTGCACTCAGGAGGAGCTTTTGCAAGCAGATTGGCGGTTTAGGTTTTAGGGTAGTAGGGTTTGGGGTTGAGGGTTTATTAAAGTACAGATTAGGGTGGGGGAGGCTTCGGTTTGAAGCACCGACAAGTTAAATGACTACACTGGAAATCCAAGAAGAACACAGTGAAGATCAGACCCCCAACATGCCCTACTAGTCTTACATTTATTGACGGTGAGAGTGGGTGTAAGGGCTCGGGCCTAAGCCTACCCTGCGATCTCGGCGGTCTCGGTGTTCTCGCTGAAGGTCTCTCATCAGGCAAGAAAATCCAGGGCTTGTGAATCAAGTACTCACGAACCTCAGGATTCCTCGGCCATTGGGCCATCTCTTGCGTCGGGCCGGAGCCGCGCGGTGCACGGAGGGAAAGCCCTCTGCCATTGGACCCCTCGGCAACCGATCCCTGGGATCGCGTCCTCTTGCCGTAATCTCGGGGTATCTGCACCAATGCTGTTTCTCGAAAACCTTGGCTCATTCGCCGAAGCGTGAAAGGCATTCAGTGCTCCGCCTGGTGTGGTGCGGCGTGATGAGATCTGCCCACGCTCTGGCAGCGACTGGCAGCCTTCGCTGCAGTCAGTGTTTCAAGCCAGCTCGGCCGGCTTCACTACTAACCTGACCCCGTGCCCCAAGTCCCCTTCAATCTTCTGGGTAAGCTAGCAGGTACTACGGCGGCTTCACGTTAAGACCTGGTGACACCCGTATTTTCCTACCCGATGCCTATTCACTGCACTGGCACAAACCTCTTTTAAACAGCTCAGCGATTAGGGCTTATTACTTCAAGATTTGGGGTTTCAGGTTTAGGGTTCAATGCGCAGGGTTTGAGATGCAGGGTTCCGGGCTTGGCTTTAGGGTTCAGGGTTTAGGGTTTCAGGTATTATTAAGCTCCAGGAGTTCGGGGGAGTAAACCGCCAAAGCCTAACCCCTTAATCAAACCTCGAAGTGGGAACCAGAAGACTCAACACTGGAACTGACGACTGACATTGAAACTCTAAGCCACAATCCCCTAGAGCCTTAACTCCAAAAATCCTTGTAATGTTATTATTTGTTAGTAGCCAATTTCATAAACCGTCCGGACACAACCTCACCACCCATGACATGAAGCCCCCAGGCATTATTATTTTTGTTCTTCACATCCGAAACTCTGTTCGAGTCCTTAAATATTGCCTACGCACGACTGAGACGAGAATGTATAATGCAGACTTCCCACTTTAAGTCAAACCCCCCCCCAGTATTCAAAGCACTTCGGGGCCAATCCTCCCAAAATCATCCCTGAAAACCTATTCTAAAGGATCCGAAAGATCCCTGAACCCAAAACCCTTAGCTAGAACCCTAAACCCTAGGCTTAGGAACTGTGCCCTTTAAGCCCTTCAGCCAGAACCCTAAACCCTAGGCCCTCAACCCTAACCCTAAGAAATTAATCCCAAACCCCCATGCCCGGAAGCACATGAATACAGCCATTGGTACCCATGACAATGATAATATGACATTAAAAGAA